ACATTTCATCAGTTTCGGGAACACAATTCAATGCTTTTAGACTAAAACAAAAGCTAAAAGGCGCTAATAAGTAGTTAAAATCACCACTTATCACCTTCTTGCTAACAAAGATCTTATTCCACATTGAATCATCCACTGGTTCACTAGGTTCATCATCACCATTAGATAGGGTAACCTCTACATACTCCTCTTCATTGGACTGGTCCTCCTCAGGATCAGGTTCCGTATTGACTACAGTTTTGCCTCGCCCTTTCACATCAACCATCTTGCGCTTCTTAGCCTTGGGTAGCCTCAAAGCTCCTTCACGAATTAGGAGTGGAACATCTCTCGAACTAGACGAGCGTGTGTGCTACACTTTCTGTGGTACTGCTTCAGAAAGATCTCGTACATCCCTATCGTTCCTTGTCTTTGTTCGAAGCTCAGTAGCACGCTTAGCCCGTGCCCCAGTTTTAGTGGAAGGCTTCTCTGAGGGTAGGTTACCCTTACCATGATTACTTGTCCGTGTCTTGGAGGTGGTCATAGTACCTGGAAAGAGCCAAGAAACAACATTAGTTCACTCTAGCCACATCAAGTCATAGTGGTGTATGTCGTATCGCACACGCAACATTTGAGCATATGTGCACAAGAAGAGTTACGAGCACTATTAAACGCTTTATACTTATTCCATGTTAATTAGCACCATGTAACAACATGTGGGTAAGGCAACATGTAAGCCATGCCTAAGTTGGCCGCGGATGACACTTGTCTTAAAAAGAGCACAGTTGAAGTACATAGGACACCCAACGGTCACCCCACACTTAAGATATGTCCGTATTGCCAATAAAGTTAGGTTAGCTACTCAGAATTCACGAAACCTTACCAAAAAACTCATTCGGGCAATTCATCAAACTATTTATGTGCACAACTTTTGTTAAGCTTCATTGGTTCAATTTGCCAATAGTGTGCCCTCCCAATTAGAGTGAGGTGGTGAGAATTGTAGTTTTTCACCTCAATATGTATAACCACCAATAAATTTTAGAGAAAAATATGCTCCACCATTCAAAAAAAATCTCATTAATCATCATACCACATAAACAACAACACAACTAGAGAGAGAGAAAGAAAAAAAGAAAACAAAAAAATAACTAACCTAAGGAAAATAACCGGTAGGGACTGTGGGTGGGAAATAAAGACGAACAAAAATAAAGAAAAAGAAAGAAAGAAAAAACTGAGAGGGGGAGGGGGTCGTACCTGGTGGAGGAGGCGATGGGGAAAAAACAAGAAATCTGAGAGGGTTTATGTTTTGAGTGTGTGTGTGCGTGCGTGTGTGTGTGTGTGTGTGAGAGAGAGAGAGTTTATGTTTATATGTTGCTTTTCTCTTCTTTTTAATCATTATTTTTATTTGGAAAATTAACGTAAAAACAGAAAAATAAAAAATAAAAAAATGCAAAGTTACCAGGGGTCATGCCAGGACAGCGCGACGCGTGACCTGGATACGCACCCCTTTACCTGGTTAAGTTGTGCCCGGTCCCGGTCTCGCGAAGCCATGGGCACTTCGTTGTCCCCTCATATCTTTTTCTTTCTCTTTTGGTCCCGGTCTCGCGAAGCGAGACACACTTCGCTGTCCCCAAAAGTTTTCTCCTCAACATTCTTGGTCTCAGTCTCGCAAGCGATCTTCGCTTCGCTGCTACCTCCCCACTTTTTTTTTGACTAAGTGACAACTAGATGAAAACAAAAATATTGGGTTGCCTCCCAACAAGCGCTTGATTTAACGTCGCGGCACGAAGAATTACAATATTACAATGGGTCACGAAGCGCCTGATTTAACGTCGTGGCACGACGCAGACTTTCGGGATTATACTTCGCTCACATATTGAGGTTCGTTCAATCGTATCACATCTTTTTCTGATTTTTCTTCACTCATTCCAACGTAGTATTTCAAACATTGCCCATTCACTCTAAACATGTTCGTCCCATCCTCGGACTCAATTTCTGCAACTCCATTTGAGAGCAGCTGCACTACTTTAATTGGTCCTGACCATCTAGATTTCAGCTTACCCGGAAATAATTTCAGTCTTAAGTTATATAGCAACACTACGTATCCAGGTTTAAAATTTTGCTCAAGAATATTTTTATCATGCATCATCTTCATTCTCTCCTTATGTAGCCTTGTGCTCTCAAAATCTTGGTAACGAAACTCATCAAGCTCGTGCAACTCTGTGACTCTACTTGTACCCGCTATTTCTATATCGAGATTCAGCTGACTCAATGCCCACAAAGCTCCATGCTCCATCTCCACGGGTAAGTGACATGCTTTCCCAAACACCAGTTTATATGGAGACATGCCAATTGGAGTTTTAAAAGCGGGATAGGCCCAGAGTGCATCATCTAATTTTTTTGCCCAATACATTCTTGTAGCATTCACAGTCTTTGTTAACACACTCTTTATTTCTCTATTCGACACCTCCACTTGCCCGTTTGTTTGTGGATGATATGGGGTGGCAAACTTGTGGCGAACACCATAGTTTTCTAACAACTTTGCGAATGCTCGATTGTAGAAGTGAATGCCTCCATCACTGATTATTGCCCTTGGGGTGCCAAACCGGGTGAATATATTCTTTCTCAAAAAACCAATTACTCCCTTTGCATCATTTGTAGGGAGTGTCGCTGCTTCCACCCATTTTGACACATAGTCCATAGCTACAAGTATGTACTTGTTTCCATATGAGCTGACAAAAGGCCCCATGAAATCGATTCCCCATATATCAAACACTTCCACCTCCTGAATTGGGTTCATGTGCATCTCATGTTGGGGAGAAATATTCCTGGTCCGTTGGCATTCATCACAACTCTTCACCCAGAGGTGTGCATCTTTGAACAATGTCGGCCAATAGAAGCTCGACTCCAACACTTTCGCGGCTGTCCTTACTCCCCTGAAATGGCCACCATATGGGGATGCGTGACAAGCCTACAAAATAGAAGATTGGTCTGTCTCGGGGATACATCTCCGGATCATGTTATCAATACAAATCCCGAACAGATAAGGCTCATCCAAATAATACATGCGACAGTCACGGAAGAAAATTTTGTTTTGAACAAAGGAAAGGTCATAGGGGACAATACCACTAGCCAGGTAGTTTGCAATGTCTGCATACCATGGCACTACCTCAAGGCTCGTGGCCAACAGTTGTTCATCCGGGAAATTTTCCACAATCTCTTCCACTTCAACCTTCTTCTCTGCTCCTTCTAGCCTAGACAAGTGATCATCCACTTGGTTCTCCGTTCCTTTTCGGTCACGGATTTCCAAGTCAAATTCTTGCAGCAGTAGCACCCATCAAATCAGGCGCAGCTTTGACTCCTTCTTCTCAATTAGGTACTTGAGAGCAGCATGGTCAGTATAAATAAGTACCTTTGAGTCTATCAGGTATGGCTTGATTTTGTCAAATGCGAACACCACTGCTAGCATCTCCTTCTCGGTCACTGTGTAATTTAGTTGAGCACCACTCAAGGTTCTACTTGCATAGTAGATTGGATGCATGACTTTATCTTTTCGTTGCCCAAGAACTGCCCCGACATCATAGTCGCTTGCATCAGACATCAGCTCAAAAGGTTGCTCCCAGTCAAGTGCCACTATGATTGGTGCAGTCACCCGCCTCTTCTTCAATTTCTCAAAAATGCAGTCATTAGAAAACACAAAGGAGTGATCTTTTTCAAGCAATTTACACAAAGGGTTAGCGATTTTAGAAAATCTTTTATAAACCGCATGTAGAAGTCGGCATGACCAAGGAAACTTCTTATGGCCTTGACGGGAGTGAGTGGAGGAAACTTCTCAATTACATAAACCTTAGCACGGTCTACCTCAATGCCCTTACTTGACACTAGGTGTCCCAAGACTATACCTTCCTGTACCATGAAATGGCACTTTTCCCAGCTCATACTAGATTAGTCTCCATACACCTCTTCAATACTCTTTTTATATTGATAAAACAGTCATCGAATGAGTTCCCCACCACTAAGAAGTCATCCATGAAAACCTCTATTATTTCTTCTACCATATCTGTGAATATGGCCATCATGCACCTTTGGAATGTGGCAGACGCATTGCATAGTCCAAACGACATTCTCTGAAAGGCACAGATGCCATATGAACAGGTGAACAACATTTTCTCTCTATCCCCCGGGGAAATAGAGATCTGGTTATACCCCGAGTATCTATTCAGAAAGTAAAAGTGGGACCTCCCAGCCAATCTATCTAACATATGATCAATGAATGGCAGCGGGAAATGGTTTTTTCGGGTGGCCTTGTTCAACCCTATGTAATCCGTACAGATTCATCATCCCGTGACTGTCCTTGTTGAGATCAACTCGTTGTTCTCGTTTTGCACTACAGCATTCCACCCTTCTTTGGCACACATTAAACTGGGCTGACCCAGTTGCTGTCAGAGATGGGAAAGATTATTCCCGCATCTAACCACTTGATCACTTCTTTCTTCACAACTTCTTCCATGTTAGGGTTCAGCCTTCTTTGATGTTCTTTGGAAGGTTTGTGCCCATCTTCCAGTAGAATCTTATGCATACAAACGTTGGGCTAATACCCTTTATGTCTGTAGTGGTCCACCCAATTCCAGTCTTGCATTCCTTCAGAACCTGCAAAGTTGTTCTACCTGCACATTTAGCAAACCAGATTAGATAATAATAGGTAATGTCAAACTAGGTCATAAGAAAGCATACCTGAGGTGAGACGATAATGGTTTTATCTCCAACTGAGGTGGATCTTCAATTGATGGCTTAGACGGAGGGGTCTTTCTTTCTTCTAAGTGTAAAGTCTCGAATCAGAGCTCTCTTTTCTAGTACCCTTGGCATTCAAGGGCCAAATTCCATTCCGCCAAGTCCTCACCATCTACCTCTTCTAAGTTCATCAGGCAGGCTGCTAATGGGTCTTATATGTTCAGTGCCTCATCTTCCTCCTCCAGAATCACATCCACAACTTCAATCAGAGAGCAGTTAGCAAACTTACTAGGTCACCGTATAGACTTCTGCACATTGAGCGTTATTTCTTCATTGTTCAGTCTCATCTTTAGCTCCCTAATTTCACAATCAATCAGAGCTCTTCCTGTGGCCAAGAATGTCCTTCCCAAAATTATGGGAATCTCTTCATCAACCTGACAGCCCAGAATGACAACATCTACCGGAAACACAAACTTTTCAACCTGCACAAGTACATCATCAAGTATACCTGATGGCCTCTTCACCGTTCGGTCGGCTAGCTGTAGTAATATGGATGTGGGTCTTGCCCTTCCAATGCCTAACCTTTTATAGATAGACATTGGCATCGGGTTTATGCTCGCCCCCAAATCACACAATGCTTTGGCAAAAGCATAGTTGCTTATGGTGCACGGAATTATGAAACTCCCTGGGTTGCATAACTTCTCCGTTATAGATCTTGTCATGACAATACTACAGGTATGAGTCAGTGTCACAGTTTCCAAGTCTTGAAAGTCAAACTTGCGAGACATCAATTCCTTCATCATTTTTGCATAATCGGGCATCTCCCTCAAGGCATCAATCAATGGAATGTTCACCCGAATCTGCTTCAACATCTCCATGAATTTCTTATATTACTCATCCTTATGATATTTGGCCAACCTCTGCGAGAAGGGTGTTGGTGGTCGCTTCTTTCCTGTGATTTGAGTTAGATCCTTCTCAGGCACTTTTTCTATTGCTTTCTCTTGCATTTTCTCAGTCTCCTTTGCAACCTATTTCTCTTTTGTTAGTTCCTCCTAGGCTAGCTACACTCTTACTTCTGTTAACTTAGTTGACTCATCTACCTCAATTGCTCTAGATCAAGATCGCTACCGTTTCTCAAACTCACCGCCATCAACTACTTTGGGCCCTGCTCTTTCAGATTGACATGTGTGTCCGCAAGTAACGTCCCAGTGAGGATGATTATTTAGAGCCATAGATATCTTCCCCAATTGAATCTCAATGCCTTTTATCACCGAGTCATGTGCTTCAGCCTTCTCTTCCATTTTTACATTGGACCCAATCAATTGTTGCAACATTTCTTTAATTTCAGACAACCCATCATCTTGTCTCACTATCTTTTGTTGAGGCTGTTGATAAGCTAGCTGCTAATTTTGCTGATTGTATTATTGTTGCCTTTGGTAAGGCACAACTTGACTCTATGGTCGCATAACTCCAAGATTGTTGCTGTTATTGTACTGTTGTTGTGCTGGTCTATACTGTTGATTCTGCTGCCCCCAATTCTGACCACCTTGCCTCTGGCCTCCATAATTTCCCACATAGTTCATATTCTCTTGATAGTTCTGATTGTCACTCTCAACACTCCACGAGCATACATATGGTTGGTTAATGCATGGTGTGCGTAATCCTCCATTTTTCGTGTTAGCTATGTGCACTTGCTTTTGGACCGACTCATTAATCTTTTTTGGTGAGGATACTCAATTGCGTCATCATAATAGCCATATTCTCAACCATGGATTTGTTTGGGTCTAGAGCTACTGAGTGAACTAGCGGAGTGATTGTAGAGTCCCTTGTCATCCATCCTGAGTTTTGAGCCATTTATCAAGCAAAACCTTACACTCTCTGAATGATTTGCTAAAAAATGCTCCACCTACTGAAGCATCAACGTTGGCCTTCAAGCTGTCTGCCAACCCCATGTAAGACCTATGTCCCAACATCTGATACGGAATGCCATGGTGTGGACACTTAACCAGCATTCCTTAGAATCTCTCCCACGCCTCTTGCAATGTTTCAGCTGGTTTCTGCCTAATGCTCAATATCTCATCAACTTGCTTGGCAGTCCTATTGGGTGGGTAGAATTTATTCAAAAACTGCTTGACTAATTCCTCCCAAGTAGTGATGGAGTTTATGGGGAGCGAATTGAGCCAAGTCTGAGCCTCTCCCATCACTGAGAATGAAAACAACAACAACCTTATTGCTTCCGGTGTCACATTTGGTTGCCTTTGTGTGGCACAAATCGACAAGTACTTTTTCAGATGTTGCTGAGGATCTTCAATGTAAGACCCCGAGAACAAACCATTGTTCTGCAACAAATATAGCATGTTGTTTGTGATTTGAAATGATTTTGCTTGTATTTGAGGGACTGCAATTGCGGTTGCCAGATTTTTAGCGGTGGGTTGTGCCCAATCATACAAGGATGCTTCTGCAACAATAGGTACCACAGCCTGATTGTTCGGGTCATTCGCATTGTTACTATTGTTTTGATTGTTTATGACGTCACCCATGTCTAGTTCAATTTGTTCTCTTGGGTACTGTTGTTGTTTGTCTTTCATGTTCGCACGATTTAATGTCTTGAAAGCTTTCTCAGGGTTCGGTAATGCTTCAAACATTTCACCAGTTCTCGAGTAGTTTCTAGGCATGTACCTGTAATGCACAAGACAACAAACGTTAGAATTTCAATGTAATGAAACTAAAGTCAAGAAAGTTGACTAAACTAAGAATCCTAGAAATTCTTCTTGCTATAATTAATAATACTGTTAATTCCCCGGCAACGACGCTAAAATTTGATCACACCCAACTATGCTTCCTAAGAGGTCTAGAAGTCGTTGCAAATATAATCTGATTTACAAGTCCGGAGTCGAATCCCATAGGAAAGTAACCTACTAATCATAACCACTAGTTTCGCAAGAATTCAAGTAATCAACCTTCAAAAATATTAAATAATGGTCTGAGTGTTTACTAACTAAGAGCAAGGTATTTAGAAAGCTGTAATTTTATTACTAACAAAGAAAATATTGTAGACAAGATTGGAAAAGTCTAGGGATTTGATATTCCCTATTGTTGGAATCCCCCCCTCTACGTTTCTTATAAATTCGCCCAAGTATTCTCTACCGATCGTGAGTACTTTAAGTGTCGTTGCTCTCTCTCAAGAAACTACCACAATTTACTATACGTATTCTCTCAAACTACGCTAGTTGGCACTAATTCACCGCTCACTATGATCGCACCAAGGTTTTGTCATCTCTAATCCCGCCTTTAAATCCTCCGTATTGATCTCTCAAATACGTTAAGAGTGCTGTTGTTCAACAACTACCTAAATGCATCCTTTCTCTCGAGCAGTACACACTAAATAGGCACAGTCAATTGAGGCCCTTCAACCAACAACAATAATATAATAGTTGAACAAGTATAGAAAAGTAAATGGCAAATGCATATTAAACGCAGTGGAAAAATCATCCTTCAATAGGTTCCATCAAACCCTAGATGAGAATTTAGCTACTCATAAGTTGTTTGCACAAATACAAGACTAGAATTCATAGCAATGGAAAATAGGAAGAAAGAGGAAAACACGTAAAGTTGAATCCTTCTCCTCTCCAAGCGCGTTCTTGCCTCTCCAAAGTCTTCTCTCCCTCCAAAGTAGTGTTTCTCCCTCAGAAGCACGTGTTAGGATATATTTATAGCGACTAGGGTTCTATGGGGCGAATTTTTATTTTTCTATTTTGGATTGGAGAAGCTGGTTTCTTTTGCTCCGGTCCCGGTCTGGCGAAGTGAACCTCGCTTCGCTGTCCGGGACGTTTCTGATTTCTTCTGCTCTGGTCCCGGTCTGGTGAAGCGAACCTCACTTCGCTGTCTGCGACTTTTCTGGTCAGCTTTTTTTCACCAATTTTTCTCCTATTTGATCCTTTTCCGCATAAGTTTGTTCCTACACATAAGAAACACGTACTGAACATATTTTCACTTCAAAAGCGGTGTAAACTCCTGCAATTCACACAGGGCATAACACACAAACACACTCAAAACATGCACTTTTCATCCTTTATCACCACCCCACACTTAAACTTTTGCTCGTCCACGAGCAACTTAAAATTAAGCTCATAGGCAAGAAATATCTTTCAAAATTGAAGTTTTGACCAAGCTTTTCAAAATTGGAGAAGCTTGACCAAACATGCTATAAGTCTAGCAAGATTTGGCACCTTTAGACTATTGCTCTTCATCTTTCCTCCTCCTTTGCCTTCTTATTCTCTCTTTTTTTTATTTCAGACCTTTGAGTCTGAAGTTTTGAACTGCCAGATCCTAACTAAGACCCGGAGAGGGCTAAACTTTAAAATGTTTATAAATTTCGACTATAAATTTTTGTTGTTACTTATGAATTTATAAAATATTTTATAATCTACTTATATTAGAACTACAAATTCTACAACAAAATATAAAAGATACACTCTAAAAATATGGTAGATTCCTTTTAATGAGGAATCCTATTTGGAAACGTATCCTTATTTTTCCCTAAAATTTCTCCAATTTATTAATATTGATTACCACTATAAAAACCCACTTGCCTTAATCATTCGTGTATTATGCATCAATCAAATCATATCCCCTTGTATTATGCATTAATCAAATCATATTCCTTACCAAAAGAAAGCCTTTTTTAGTTTTAAATTTTTTTTACGAAATTATTTCTCTCTATTAGAACCCCTATGCTATACACCATCCAAAAATCTCAAAGGATTCCCCCAAATTTGATTCTTCTTCACCTCTCTGTCAACGCAAAACCTTGTTTCGCCCAAGTTCTCTTATAATATAATATTGTATATTTTTTAATATACACATGTATATATATACATGATATATATATATATATATATATATATATATATATTATATAACATATAATTCATACAAGAAATATACAATATATTAATGGAGAAATTAGGAAAAAATTAATATGATAGATATTTTTAGATGAGAGAAAATTGTAAGAGAGACATTAGGACATTTTAGGTGAGAGAATATTAAGATAGATATTAAGAATATGAAAAGTTGTAAATTTTAAAATAAATTGTATATATGTAATTTTATCAAAGCAGTTGTAGAAAGGTCATATTCTATGTAAATTCCTCTAAAAAATATGGGTTTGTGCACTTGGGCCGAAAATAACAAATGAATGGAGTTTTAAATTCGGACCCTAATGCCGATGAATGATTTTGGCCCGCCAATTTCAAATGTCGCCGGAGTAAAGCTCTCTGCTGTCAATCTTTGCTTCTCTCCGCCTGAATCAAGCTGTAAGTTCCCCTTTTTCATTCCTGCTCTTTCCCTCTCCTCCTCCTCACTGTTCCTCACGAGACAAAAACCCTAATCCCTGTATGCCATAGTATAGTTTGAATTGGGAATTGAGATGCAGTACTTTATTACTCCTTCGGTCCTTCCACAAAACGACTGCCTCTTTTAGTAGTAAATGGTCAACTTTTAACACCCCCTTTTTCTGGAAAATTTCTTTTACCTTGCCGAGATTGCTCAAGACTGAACTAAATTGATATGTTGATAGCAAATTACCCAGACAGTTGAACTTTGAAGTAAATATGGACCGATAATTAGGTTGAATTCACATTCACCGCTAAAATTCATGATATCTGAAGCCATAATAGGCTAAAAGATCCATTTGTTTTCGAATTGGATCCATCATTTAGAGCTTGGAAGAAAAGAAAAAAGGAAAGAAAATGGAGACCCCAAAATCACAGGGTTCGATCTCAAAGAGACCTGTCAGAATGAGGGTAGCTTCAAGGAATTATAATGAGAATTTGATGGATGAGTTGATAGAGGAGCAGTTGGGTGGCTCTGTGAGGAAGAGGAATAGAACAAAGAAAGATTTGGAGAAAGAAACTGAAATAGAGGCCATGATTGCTATTTCTTTGGGCTTCCCCATCGATGACCTTCTTGAAGAAGAAAGAAAGGCTGGAGTCGTAAGTGAACTGGACGGGAAAGAGCAAAATGATTACATTGTTGTGAGAAACCATATCCTTGCAAAATGGAGAGAGAATGTGCATATTTGGCTGTCCAAAGGAAAGATAAGGGAAACTGTAAGTGCCGAGTATGATCATCTGGTGGCCGTAGCATATGACTTTCTTTTGCATAACGGGTATATAAATTTTGGGGTTTCACCGTCAATTGTATCTCTTATTCCCGAGGAACCTAGTGAAGGGTCTGTAATTATTGTTGGTGCTGGACTCGCTGGTTTAGCTGCAGCAAGGCAACTGATGTCATTTGGATTCAAGGTGGTTATCCTTGAAGGTAGGAACCGACCCGGAGGGAGAGTTTATACTCAGAAAATGGGGCGGAAGAGCAAGTTTGCTGCTGTGGATCTTGGTGGCAGTGTCATAACTGGTATCCATGCAAATCCTTTGGGAGTTTTGGCTAGACAACTTTCCATTCCGCTTCATAAAGTTAGAGATAAGTGTCCTTTATACAAGCCTGATGGAGCTCCTGTTGATGCAGAAATTGATTCCAGAATTGAACTCATTTTCAATAAGCTACTAGATAAAGCTACCGAGCTAAGAAAAATAGTAAGTGGATTGGCTAATGATATCTCGTTGGGCTCCGTTTTGGAGATGCTTAGACAACTATACGCTGTGGCTAAAACTACAGAGGAGCGGCAACTTCTGGATTGGCATTTTGCAAACTTGGAATATGCAAATGCTGGATGCCTCTCAAAACTCTCTGCTGCCTATTGGGATCAGGATGATCCTTATGAAATGGGCGGTGATCATTGTTTTCTTGCTGGTGGAAATTGGGGTATAATCAGAGCACTGTGTAAAGGAGTTCCTATATTTTATGGCAAGACTGTTCAGACAATAAAGTATGGAAATGAAGGAGTAGAGGTCATCGCTGGGGGCCAAGTTTTTCAGGCAGACATGGTCCTCTGTACTGTTCCTCTTGGGGTACTAAAAAGAAAATTAATTAGATTTGAACCAGAGTTACCTGAGAAGAAGCTTGAAGCTATTGATAGGCTAGGATTTGGGTTGCTGAATAAGGTTGCCATGGTATTCCCTCATGTTTTTTGGGGGGAAGACTTGGATACCTTTGGTTGCCTCAACCATTATAGCCATAGACGAGGAGAGTTCTTCTTATTTTACAGTTATCATACTGTTTCTGGGGGTCCAGTTCTTATTGCACTTGTTGCTGGTGATGCTGCTCAACTTTTTGAATCCACAGAGCCAGCCACTTTAATTAATCGAGTTATGAGCATTCTCAAAGGTATCATCTTCTTTTTTGTATTTTTATATTTTTCTATCGGTGGTGTCTGGGTCAGCCGACGAGCACCTTGACTAATCCACCAGACAGCTCATCCAGCTTACAAGCAGCAGGTTTCCCAGGTAATCCTGCTCAATAACATCCAAAAAAGAAAAAGATCCTGCTCACTTAGGCTGGAGCGGATGGGTTCATACCAAGTGTTTAGTTGGTATTCCAGCCTTATTCCCATGTCTCAACCACTTGGCGATCTCCTTGCGGATGTATCGTCCATCTTTATGCAGGACTAGATAGATTTAATTTTCTTTTCCCTGTTTTTGTTCTTTGAGGAAGAACATGAAATCTGGTCTCATATTCATCTGGCTGCGTTGACAGGCATCTATGAGCCAAAAGGCATAAACGTGCCTGATCCTATACAATCCATATGTACAAGGTGGGGAAGTGATCCCTTTTCGTTTGGATCATATTCACATGTTCGCGTTCAGTCTTCTGGCAGTGATTACGACGTACTCGCAGAAAATCTTGAAGGTCGGCTGTTTTTTGCTGGAGAGGCTACAATTCGACAACATCCAGCCACCATGCATGGCGCCTATTTGAGTGGCTTAAGAGAAGCTTCTCGCATTTCCCAATCCATGAAAGGGAGGCAAAACAATCCAAGGAAAACTGTACCAAAGAATGTCGGACCAAGCAATGATGTATTGGAAGAGTTGTTCAAGAGGCCAGATCTAGCATTCGAGGACTTCTTGTTTGTATTTGATCCTTCGACCTATGATTCTAAATCTTTAGGACTCATGAGAGTTACTTTTGCAAAATTCAATGATGAACTTAATGCAGAACTGTCTTGTGGCAAGGAGGCCGATAATATGCCTCAGCATTTATTAAATCAACCATTGCAGCTTTATACGGTTGTGTCTCGTGAGCAGGCGGTTGAGTTGCAGTTGGTGAAGGGTGGAAATGATTGTAAATTGTCATATTTGTTTAAAAGTCTTGGCTTGAAGTTACTGGGAGCTAATGCATTAGGAATTCTTGGCAACTCTTTAGCTGCTAACATTTCTAATTCTCGAAGAGGCAAAGGCCGGAATCGAAGTTATGGTGCCCAACAGAATGCAGGCTACACGAATATTCAGCTATCTTGAATAATGCTGAATGTATCTTCAAATTTGTGGAGGAATGCAGTAAAGATGGCATCTTTTACATCTTACATTGACTGTGTGTCGCTGACTGACCAGATCAAATATTAGTATGTTAGTTAGTCATAGCATGTGCATTCATGTTGCTCGCTGGTACATCTTGTGCAACTGGCGTCGTAGTATGTGCTCCAAGACCTCATTCAGATACATATTATTTAGCTGTGAAGTTGAGCAGTCCTTGGTGAAAAAGGCTCGAGGATTCTGCACAGTTTGCATAGAGTTTCAAGCCTTCCTGTTCTATATCTGTTGGTTTTGTTGTGGATATTCTTTTGTATGTTTGTCCTTTGTACTCCTGGAAAATGCAAAGTGTAGACTAAAAAGTTTGTTGGTCCCTTTTGTAGGCGAACTCGTATAATTTTTGGAAGAAAAGAAACAAGTAGGATGGGGTTAGACTTGTTGTAAACTTGTACCAGTAAAGAGCTGAAAATGAAAAAGAAACCAGTTGAACGCATGTCAGCTCTGTGTCAATTTATTTATTTCTTGTTTAACTTTGTTTTACACAGATTATCAGCTCCTAGATGTCTCTTGTTATATATACCGCAGTTTATTAGCTATTTAAGCTAGTTATCAGTTCTCTTTCTCTATCTCATTTTTCGTTTAAATAAGAAATGTCTAATAAACTATTTATTTAAGTTGTACTCAAACTATGAAACAACTGAGAAGAAATACCGTTTGTCCGTTAAGAGAATGTTGCATTTCACACCTTTGGTCACGTTTGAATGTTTCTGGATATTGGACCATCCCGATTACATTTCTCTTTTTGCTATTAATAGATATATATAATAATCTAATTTTGGACCAATCTCATAAAAATCATAAAATCTATAAAATCTTAAAAGGTAATGTTGTATACAACGCCTCAATCTCAAACAACTTGAATCGGCTATATGAATCCACACTATGAGACGTTGTATACAAGCAAAAGAGCAGGTAGTCGTCTAACATCAAATGTTCTTAAGAAAGTCAACACATGCACGGCAATTGCAGTCCTCGAATTTGCACATGCTACAACCAAAGCAAACACACCTCACGCAACCATTGCATTTAGCAGTTCTGGGACAAGCCCTGCATGCTTTTCTACTTTCTCTTTCTTCAGCATCATTGCAACTCATTCTGGAAAGAAAAAAACACACACACACACACACACACAGTGTTGTTAGTAAAGTAATTTGATTTGTTCGAATATCAATGTAAACTCTTCAATTAAAACACCTCTTTATCTCACAAATCCAAGGTATCAGTTATTATACGCCTAAACCAGTTGTATCTCATGTCCTATATATCCGAAATGCATGTAGGTTATGTGCATGTGTGATTTTGTTTGAATATTTGTAACAGATAATCAATTAATCAGAAAATGCTGGTAATATGTTTCTTTGATTATGAAAAATAATCAAGAAACGAATCATTCAAGAGCTGAATTGCTGTTCTAAGGCTGAAAGATTACCCACATCAAGTACAAGCTACAAGCATGTATCTTCTATGTCACTGTACGATATATAGTTCCAAGCATTATTTTATCAATTGATTGTCACTTTTTCAATAATCTATTTAGCCATTGAAGTAGTATATATTTTCTAGTTATTACCAACTAATAGTAAACCTATTTCACATAACATAAAAACAAACAAACTGAACAAATAAAGCAGATTACCTGTTACAACATATTAAAAGACACTAATACTATAACACAAGAAATCGGGAATTAATATTACCTTTTGTGAGGCATATCAGAGCATTTCCAATCCTTGTTAGCAACAGCATCATGATAAATCCTGCATTCTTCTTTAGTCCGTAGAAGAAATCGACGTTCTTTGTTACAATTAGTGCAGCAAATGAACTCATCACGATGTATGATTTGGCCACGAAGAGGCCTACGGAATGTATCGGTGTGATACTTCAACAAACATGTCTTCCACAATTTTTCTCTTCGCCCTTCCTTATTATTTACCCAAATTTGGCTTTTCCAATTCTGAATTGCCGTCTTCCTCCCAGCATGTTTTGCAAACTCAATTGGTGATAATTTCACTGCCAAAAGAACCAAAGAAACAAGTTTTCTAGGGGGACAATTCAATAAATAAGAGGCTATAATTCAAACTATAATACATGGTATCGAATCCCTTTTTCGCTTAGTTTAGTGGTGAATTCAAGATTTAAAGTCAGAGAATTCTGCTCTTTAATAGATGTGTCAATATTTTTCTAACACACATATAGTTTGAGCTAAACGTATTGGATTCTGTTCATGAACCGTTGTGTCTAGTATAGATCCGTTAGTGGGACGTTTTCGGCTCCTTGTTAACTAGGTGGAAAAAAAATCTATGAAATAATAATAATAATGAAAAATAAATAGGACCTTGTGGGCAACCACGATAGCATTGACAATCAATTTCAAGCCTCCCGTCTGGGAAAATTCTGAGCTTTCCATTTGTGTCACCAAATTTGGTAACAGTACAGCCACATTCGATCTCGACATAGTCCGATCCTCTCTTTAACACACCCATGAAGTTTTCTAACTCTTTTTCTGTAAACATGTCTGCAACCTTATAAAGACAAAAAATTGGTACAAATATGTCATTTGAGGATCTAGTCACAGAATGTCGAAAAATCAAAAGAAAATAAAAAAAATCCTTTTATTGACGCGACATAAATCGTCAGATCTATTAATTAATATTTAAAGCTCAAACATTGAACGTTTTCTATTTCGTACCATAGCAATCAATAGAGTTAATGTCTTGATACTATCACAAAGTTACTTGAATGCATAACAATTTATTGATCAAGAAGATACGCTAGTTATGTTCCTAAACAATAAAAGAAAAAAGTAAATAATAAAAGTAAAAGAATAACAGTACTTGTACACTTGGTGCAAATTAATAGAGCCGCTAAAATAGCCTTTTTTGAATAGACATCTGAAATAACATCAAGTCGAGCACAAAAACATATCTAAGTCGCTAACAAGAAAAGACATACCTTTTTAAACTCGAAACCTCAATTGTTTATGAGAATTCTATTAAGTTATGTTCAATTTTTGTGAATTCTTATATAGAACTATGCGCCTCCAAAACCTTTTAAAGTGCTAATTTTCAATTTCTCATATTCATGTAATCAGAGTTTTAAATAGTAATATATCTATAAGGTATATAATTAAAATGAACAAGATTATGTCTTACCTGGAAAATTGACCGTTGACGTTAGGGTGGCATATTTCGGTCAGAACCGAAGAAATCGACCGAATCGAAAATATTTTTATTTCGGTTTCGGTTATTCGGTTTTTTCAGTCGATTTCAGTTTAAAATTTTAAAATTTCAATTTTTCAGTTCGGTTGTTGATTATTAATTTATTTGGTTCGGCCAACCGAAAAACCGAATTATTAGCAGATAGATTTTTCAAGTTATATATAGGCTAAGCCCATAGGTAATAATATAGGCCCAATTTTGAAGTCTATCAAAGACCCAAACCAAATAAGTAACCCAATCGGCTATTCCTAATTTCTCATTCCTTATGACTTTTAACTCTACCAATACTTACCATTTTTTTCTGAGTTGCCACTAGGGTTCTTCAAGCTTCAACTGTGCCTCTCTATCGCCATTGATATGCTTGTACCAGTGGTGCTCCATCAGTTTTCGTTGTCGTCGGATTTCTTGTTGCTGTCCAGGTAAGCTTATCTTTTGTTATATTTCTCTCCTTCTTGAACAATAGTATTTGGCAAATCAAATTTATAAAAATAACAAACCAAATTTATGATTTGTCACATTCAAGCGACAAAAGAAGCCGAAATTTTGAAAGAAAACCAATAAATTCGCCAGTCCAATTATTATATAGAAAGAGCCCAATATAATAATGTTCAAATCGAAAATCGATTCGAAATAAACCAAACTGAATCAGAAAACCGAACTGAACCGAACTTATTTCAGTTCGATTTTGTTAGAGTAGATGAAGGCCTAACTTAGTTCTGTTTTCTTTTTTATGTACAGGCCCATACTATAAGGCCCAATTATTTATTCTGTTGTAGTAACATTACAGGCCCATACTATAAATAGTTAGATGATTGTAATTACTAGACCAATTTTGTTCTTACAGAAGAGAATGAGAAATATCTTTCTCTATGTCGTCTTTTTCTCTCGAACATTCTAGGTCTCACCTTGCTAAATTTGGTTTGATTTCTTTCATTTTCTTTGATTTTAACATGGTATCAGAGCAAACCTGGTTAATTCCGGGAGGAACTACGTTTCTATTGTTCGATTTTCTGATCTAGAACATTTTTTGTTGCACCGTCGATTTCTGCAAATTTTGGTGATTTTTGTTCGTCAGAGCTGCGGTTTTCAGTATTAATGTCAATTTTGTCTTCAATTTGTGTTGTTGATGCAAAGTTTGTTTGAAATTTCAAGCTTCGCGCCATCAACATATTTTAGGGGTTTCTCGCACAATTGGTGACATTACTTCTCAATCTTTGCATATTCTGATAGATATTTTGTGTGAATTGTTGTTTTCCTTATGATTTTTTCATAATCATGGCTATTGATTCTGAAACACCTATTGTGCCTGAACCTCCAAACACAAATTTAAACCCTAATCTCGATTCTTTTCATCCTTTATATCTTCACCCTTCTGATACTTCGGGTACAGTGTTAGTCTCTGTTCCTTTTGCTAGGATAGGGTATGTAGAGTATGATTATCTCACTCTCAGCTAAAAACAAACTCAAAGTTATCAATGGTTCCCTACCCAAACCTGCACCTACCTCAGCACTCTATCCTCATTGGGGGAGATGCAATAACATGGTTAAATCTTGGATTATGAATGCATTATCTAAGGACATATCCAAGACTTTATTGTATTACAAAACTACTAAGGAGGCTTGGGATAATCTAGAGGAGAGGTATGGTATTGCAAATACCTCTCAATACTATAGTATTCAAAGAGCCATAGCATCCACTACACATGGATCTTCTGATATAGCTATGTTTTTTACAAAGTTGAAGGGTTATTGGGATGAAATTGGTAACTGTACTTTTGGTAGGCCTTGCACTTGTGGTGCCTTGCCTGAGTTTATTGAGGGACAACAACTTGTTCAATTTTTGTCTGGGTTGAATGATACATATGCTACTATGCGGAGCAACATCCTGATGATGAGTCCAGTACCATTAGTTGCAAAGGCATACTCTATTTTGATCAGAGATGAAAAGCAGAGAGAGATCAAATCTGATTCCCCTATGTTCTCTTCTGATTCAGCCTCATTCCTAGCCCACTCTCCTGCTCCTCAGATTGGTTCCTCTCAAGTTAATAACTTCAGAAATTATCCTCAAAGAGTGAATTTTGATTCTAAGAAATCCATGCTATTCTGCAAGTACTGTAAGAAGTCTGGGCACACAGTAGACAAGTGTTACAAGCTTCATGGATTCCCCTCAGATTTTAAGTTCACTAAGAATAAAAGAGTTGCAGCTTCTGTACATATGGGTTCTACTCCTGAGACTCCTCCTCTTTTTGATCCTCAACAAGCTGTTGATAATCCACATGGTTTCTCGAAGGAGCAATATGCTCATATTCTGTCACTTTTTCAGCAGGCACAACTCTCATCCTCTGCTCTAACATCATCATCATCATCTACTACTTATGCCAATTTTGCAGGTTTGGTAAACAGTACTGTTTTTAACTTTGATGGTTCGTTTGCATCTAGTGCTTCTAAAACATATTCAATATCTTGGATTTTGGATTCTGGGGCCACTAATCACATGACCCCTCACAAGCACCTACTTCATAATATACAACCTTTAGTCACACCTTCTCTTGTTACATTGCCAAATGGATACAAAGTTAAAGTTACCTCTCTAGGCTGCCTATCACTGTCTTTTACTATCACCCTGAATAATGTACTTTTGGTACCTTCTTTTTAATTCAATTTAATCTCTATACATTAACTTCTCACTGAACTCAGTTTCTATGCTATTCTCACTACTATTTCCTTGTTCCTACAGGGCCCTTATCTGAAGAGGCCACTGGAAATTGGTAGAGTTGAGCATGGCCTATACATTCTGCATATGGGTTCCAGCAAATCTGACTTTGTTTCTATTTCTTGTTCTGATGTAAAATCTAGTGATTGTTCTTTTCATTCTGTCATTAGTTCTGTTCCCTATCCCCCTGTTATTGATAGTTAAGTGCTTCCTACTTCTTATAATTCTACTTCCATTAATAAAAATGATGTTTTGTGGCATCAAAGAATGGGACACATTCCTTTTGTTAAAATAATCTCTATCCCACATCTATCTTGTAAATTTTCATCTAAACAATCCTTTGTTTGTTCAATCTGCCCCATGGCAAGACAACAAAGGAATCCATTCCCTGCTAATATTACACATCCTTCAAGTCCCTTTGAACTTGTTCATGTTGATCTTTGGGGCCCTACCATACTGCCACCTACAATGGTTACAAATATTTTTTGACCATTGTAGATGACTATAGTAGGGTCACCTGGACACATCTTCTCTCTTGCAAAGGAAATTCTTTTTCCATCAAAGAGCATTTACATCCATGGTTTCCACCCATAACAATAGTAGTGTCCAGACCATTAGAACAGACAATGCTTCTGAACTAGGATCTTGTTCCTCCTAAACTGATTTTCTTAGTTTTTCGGGTATCTCTCGTCAGACAACTTGCTCTCATACTCCACAACAAAATGGGGTTGTGGAGAGAAAACACAAGCATCTCTTAGAAACTGCTAGAGCCCTCTTGTTTCAGTCCAAATTACCTACTAAGTATTGGGGTGAATGTATACTCACAGCTACATACTTAGTTAATAGATTCCCTTCCACTGTTATTTCAAACAAAACCCCTTATGAGGTCTTGAATGGTCAACCACCCTCTTATGATCATTTAAGATCTTTTGGATATTTAGCCTATGCTTCTGTCCCTATGCCTCATAGAGACAAACTCCAATCCAGAGTTATACCTTGCATTTTCTTGGGGTATCCCTTTGAAAGAAAGGGTACAAACTCCTTCACTTACACAGATCTATTATATACTCTAGAGATGTATCTTTTGTTGAACACATTTTTCCTTCTACCTCTTCTCCTTCTACTTTCTTTCCTTCTTCTTCTGATACAACTTTTCCTTATTTTGATCTCTCAAATCCCCCTTCTTCTCCCCATTCTTCTTCTGTACCAACATCATTGCCCTCTAGTTCTTCTATTACACCTTCTCCTCCTCCACTTAGAAGGTCCTCTAGACCACATAACCCTCCAGTTCATCTTCAGGACTATGTTTGTAACTCTGTTCCTCAGTCTTCAGCTCTTCCTGTCACACATGAACCCCAACATTATCAGCAAGCTATCTCCAATCCTGCTTGGCAAGAAGCTATGCTAAAAGAGTTTCAGGCTCTTGAGGCTAATCAGACTCGGAATATTGTCCCCCTTCCTCTTGGCAAGAATGCCATTCCCTGTAAATGGGTATATAAGATCAAACAGAGGTCAGATGGGACCATTGAGAGATACAAAGCAAGACTTGTTGTTAGGGGTGATACTCAACAGGCTGGGATTGATTACAGTGAGATATTTTCCCAGTTGTCAAGTTCACAACTGTCAAATGTCTCCTTGCTGTTGCAGCCAAGAAGTCCTGGACTGTTTACCAACTTGATGTCAACAATGCATTTCTGCATGGGGACCTTTATGAAGAAGTGTATATGAAGGTTACCCTTGGGTTGTCTATCTCTGGTTATTCTCCTGATGATTCTCCTCTTATTTGTAGACTTAGAAAGTCTCTTGATGGTCTCAAACAAGCATCAAGACAA